CCCCCCCCCCCCCCCCCCCCCCCCCGCGGAGCGGCAAAAAAGCCAGAGCCGGCCCTGGTAGATGTTGTCCTTGATGTTAGAGAATGACTGCAACACCTCTTAAGATTTCTTATGAGAGGTGAATAGATAAACTACTGTAAAAGCCTCAATGTTTGGTGAAGCACAGAAAAAAAATCCATTTTGAAACTCATTTTTTTGGACTAGTAGTTTGATTGTTCTTCTGTGGCCAGAAGAGAACTTGGGTCCAGTCTCAAAGGAACGTATTGTTAAGCAGGGCCCCCCTAATGCCACATGATTATTTGCCTTAGCCCACACTTGGGGGTGCCCTGCTTTCAGCCTTCACCAGGATGACTCTCTGCAAAACTTCTTTGCTTTTTTTCATCAATATCTGGTCTAGAAGACTAACAATCTTGGATTTGAGGTCCTTTTTAGGGGTTACCTTTTCCCTTCAGATGAACCCCTTCTCCCAACATTAAAGGTTTGGTTCTGTAGTTTCTTTATGACAGTGGGTTATTCAGGAGAACACCTTTAAAGGAAAGACTCCTGTTCATCGCACCACAACAGAGTCCTTGATGTGGCAAAATAAAAAGCAGCTCAAGTAAGGCGTCTCTCGACTAGTTCATGGTTCTCTACAGGCAACTTTGGAGATTTTGCAGTTGAAGCCGTGGAAGGATATGAAAGCAAAAGGCCACCATAATCAAATGGTACAGCCCAAGCTTCCCTTATTTAGTTCTCTTCCCCTTCCGGGATGCAATTATAATGCTTTACTGGCCACTTGTGCATATATAGGAGAGCTTGCTTTGAGTCAAAAACAATATTGCGAGGAGAATATGTTTAGACAGTTTGAATTTCTTTCTAGCCTGGTGGAAAAATTGTGGCTGAGTCAAGCTGTTATAATCTTCTTTAGCTACACCTTATAGAAAAACAGATTTCTGAACGTTAGTATCCAGGCCAGATAGTAATGCCTCATGGACTCATCAGTTAAGGCATACAATTGAGAAATGTTGACTTTTTGGGAATAGAGATGCAATGGGGAAAATTTGTTCCTGGAGCATTTACATCTTTGAGAAGGACTTAGATGAAACAGGAAAATTCTGAGGGATTTTCACTGCTATCTTTAAAAGAGAAAGTTAGATTAATTTCTAACAGGAAGAGTGAACTGGGTGAAGAGTCTAACCTGTGGATGCTTAACTTATGATGCCTAAAATAAAAAGTTGTTCGATCTTATAAGATATTCATAGTCAGTAATGCATCTTCTGATAAGAATTCCCCTCTTTAAAAAGTGTTACGTAAAGTGGTTATAAATACCTACCTGTCTTGTAATAAAATAGGATTTGGCTACCTCACAAGGGTGTTATAAGACTTTAATTGAATGTTTGATAAGCAATTTGAGATCCTGGGATGAAAGGCACTATATGACTATAGTGTACTACATATGATGATAATAATTAGGGTTTTTTTTTAAAAAGAAAAACAAAACAAAAAACCTCTAGAAGAAGAGCACAGCAGTTATGAGGAGCTTCTGGTAAGAGAATCAGGAAATAACAGAGTTACAGAACACCGTAGAGCTGCTTGATATATTAAAGCAGGAAATTTCAGTGTCTGGACTGGTGACTAACAATAATACTCTCTTATACAGCTCTCTTAAATCCTCAGAATGCTTTCAAAACATTAGGCAACCTTAGCAACAGCCCTGTGGAGATAGCTGGGGACAGAAAAGTTTAAGGACTTGCTCAAGACCAAAGTCCTAAATCAGAGCTGCAATTAAGAACTAAGGAATTCCACAGTTTCACTCCTATGCTAAGATAATTAGTCCATGCCAACCTCTCACTCTTGCAACAATAGACAGAATATGCTGAACTTGAAAGAACTGTAAAAATAAATAAATAAAACCACTACTGTCCTACGGTTCAGATCCTCGGCTGGTATAAATCATGTTTTTAATTGAGCTATAACGATTTATGCCAGTCGAGGATCTGGCTCTGGTATTTCAGTAAGGGTCTTTACTCAAACTAAAACCAAAGGAACTTTTGGGGAAATGAATGAGCAGACAGACAGAGTTTATAGCATTCTATGTGCGCCCCCGGGGCCACACATTGACTGAATCTTCTGAACTCTTTAATCTTTACTGCTCAGCTCTGAGTTAAGCGCTTGCAAGGCTTGAAGCCTAAGAGCAGGGAAATTTATAGAGGTTACTTACATTACATTTAGACAAATCGTCTTACCAATAGTAAAAACCAACCAACCAACCAACCAACCAGGATTTTACTCATTTAAAACACCCATTCACAGTTAGTGTCACCTTTTCATGAAGATGTTCGGTGCGTGGTATTGCCATTATTGTCACCAAAACTTTCATTAGCTGCAGGCTAATTTCTTTGCAGTCTTCTTGGCACACTTCAGTTATCGCTTGTACGCAACAAAGCAATTGTTCCATATAAAAGATCTACAAACAAAAAGCATTAAATGTGTGAGTTTTGTTAGACAACGTTAGACACCCTTTCTTTCACAGGCCAGTAAAATTGACACAATCCTCTTTAAAAGTCAGGTATTAGTAGATGACAGTAATAAATAAGATAAATTCTACATATCCTGCTAAATCGGATGCCTATTTATTGTTCCAAACATAGACTCTACAATTCACTCAGTTCTATAATGACTGATGGGGCATTTTTTGTAGAGCAACAAATTAACACTCTCTTCCCATGCTTTTTGCTTGTAGAAGTGGTTACCTTGTCCTGTTAAGAAAAATTAAGGATCATCCTGCTAGCCACACAATGACTGCTATATGCTGGATAAATACATTAAAGAATTTTGGGGTTCCTAGGAAGATTTTCATCTTATCCTGAAATGGAACTCTTTGACTTCTAATGTTTCTGCTGTGCCAATCTCAAATGTTGTTCAAATTTCTGAACATCTCAAGTAGCATAGTGATATTGAAATACACAGAAACAAGGAAACCTGAAGGTCTGTCTCCCACCTAATTATTGCAACATAATGCATAAAACCCTGGCCCCACTGAAGTCAATGGGAGTTTTGCCATTGACTTCAATGGGGCCAGAATTTCACTCAAAATTCTTGTCAGTTTGCAAGTCTTCTGTAACAAAGCATAGAAGACCACAGTAGGCAGACGTTCCATGATTTGCTATACTCTATCAGAGAAAGAGACCATTGTCATACGACTGGTTAGCTCCATTTCCAAAAAGAAAATAAATAAAACTTGAGAATACTCTTACCTATAAATGGTATTTATCTAATGTAATTTATATAGCATTCTCTCACGATGACAGAGAAGAATTATTTCTCAAATAGAAAAGTTAGGACAACTCTGCCAAAAGCTGCACTAACAGATGAATGTGGGTCTGTCTACTCTCTATATTGTCTAATAGAGTTAATTTATAGAAGATCACGTGGCACTTTTTGCAGATCTGTCCTATGGACTCATTGCTTGAACACCCGGAGGTGGTGCTTCCAGTGGAGTAGATCCCTAAGAATAATGTATTTCAGTGTGATTAAGGTCAATTCTGAGCATTCTAAGCATCACTGAAACACGTTCCATTAAAACAAGGACTTAAAGAACTACATTGTCTCAAAGGGAGAATTAAACAGATCCTGTAACACTAGAATAATCTTCTTGAAAGGAATTATAAATCTGACAATGGGCTACAAAGAATCTTCTGGAGACAGGGTATTGGCCAACTGCATATCCCTGAAGATCCCTTGCTAGTCATTCTAAGGGCAGAGACTTAACATTTCAAACTCCTGCTGGAAAGAAAGCTAGAATTTTAATTAAGAAGAAGGCTTGGTAGACTGTATGGATTTCTCTTGTATACCAATAACAGAACACATTGCAGATCCAGAAATAGAAGAAAGGGATGAAGAACTCCTGAATTTCTGTAATTTCAACTGTTACACTAGAGAGCCCACTCCATATTGGAGAAAGAAGCTGTCATACACCAAGCTGAAAGGGTCAAGATACTGAGATCTAAGGGTCCTTTCAGCTGAACTCTTTCAGGTGAACAGTTACATTTCCTTCGCCTGTGTTAATTATTCTGCATGTAACAGGAGAGGAAGTACACCAAAGGAAAAAAAAATACATGCAATGCCTTAATGCTAATTAATTGTACACATCACTCTCACTATATGGCTCACAAAGAATACAGGCACTTCAAAATAGTATTGTAAGAACTGCCTTCAGGCTCACGTCCCATTAAATCCATCTACTGCACGTTAGTTATGTGTGTGCTTAAGAGCAATTTTATCATGTTGGAAGTGTCTTCATCCTGCATTTTTAGGATGAAGGAACCCAAACCTAGGAAGCTTAAATCCTAAAGTTTTTTGCAAAGAGTGTTCCTAAATGCACATTTAAACATACTGACCATTGCCTTTTAAAAATCAAATATTAATATCCAAAAAAACTAGCATTAATAAAAGGAAGCACTTCTCTTTGTGAAATATAACATGCCAATCACTATTGCCAAGAAAACGCTTTGTATCAATCATTTTTATTTAGCTGGACTGCAGGGCTGGGAAGGGTCAAAGTACATTCATTTGTTTGGATTCTGTACACGATGAACTTATCAAAACAAGGGCCAAATGGTGCTTTCGGATTAATCCAATTGACTCCCACTGCAATACATGGGAATGATGTTCATATGTTTAAAAGCAGAAAGTTAGCCTAATGTAGATAACTTGAAGTTCTGATGTCAGGGAAAATATCAATATCTTATAACAATATTAACTAAGACCTAAATAACCCAGTGTAGTTTGAACTGATCATATGCAAGACTGTGTGCAAACTGACAATCACAAATGAAAGACTTGTTTGCACAATAATTTAAACAGAACTTCTATTATTTTGGTCAGTATTTTCATGGTACGAAAAGGGGACTTGTCACTTTAGAAAATTTTACACACAATTTTGCAGATTGAAAAAAATAAAGTTATATTAAGGTAAGGTACAGTCTAACTCAGTGGTTTGCAAATTATGGTATGTGGGCCACAATCAGGAGGCACCCAGGTGGATTTGAAGTATAGTATGAGAACAAGAATCCGTTATAAACTACACTTAAAAACAACAAAAGTGGTTTGCCAGTCACTTTTGGCTTTTAGATTTGGTATGCTAAGACTTAAAGTCTGAGAACCAGTGGTCTAAGTCCTGGCTGTTTTGGATTTTCCATTTATCCTTACCTCTTCAGATCGCTGACAGATCTCAGGTTGTGAGAGTGTGTTGGCAAGATAAGACAAATGAGGCTTTAAGACTTGTCTTGGGCAACCTCGTATCACTGCAGCTAGAATCATGAGATTAGAAGGCATAGGTGTTTTTTCAAGGGCTGACACCAGTAACTTCAGAGATACCTTAGGGCTAACAAACGTTCCAATCAACTCTGCTGCTTTCACACACTGTAAAAGAGAATAAATATAACTTGAGGATTATTTTGAAAACACAAAGACCATTCATCATATCCTGGCCCTTCCTCTTTTTATGATTCCAGCTGTTTTTTAAATACTTCAGCAATTGGCTTATAGGCCTTTCCGCTCACTCAATAATGACTGCATGCATGAAAAAATTTTCTTGACATGTGTTCAGAAAGCTCATAATAAGGCATGCAAGCACCCTTCTCAGCATCAGACTCAAACTTTCATGAGAAAGTTGTAAAGCACAGTGTAATAGATCTCTAGCTTAGGGTGACCAGATGTCCCAGATTTCCTGGTTCAGGGTCCCCCCCACCGCTGCAAAAACTGGTCTGAGGCACAACCCCCGCCCTCATTTATATATATATAAAAAAAACAAAACTCAAAAAAGAAGTAATCCATTTTTTGTTGCATTCACACTCTTCTCAAAACTGTGTTTTAGAGAAGCACCTTTGTATCCCTCTCTGGCATGCGGAGGAGTCAAGTATACGCAGCAGCCTAGTGATAGCATTGTGTACTCCATACAGGAAGAGCCTGCTGCTTTCAATCTTTCATTCTTGTAGCTAGCAGGGCTGCCAAGTACTATGTATCCCTCTCTGGAATGCAGAGGAGTCCCAGGACCCAGGCTCCAGCACAAGCCTGAACGTGTACACAGCAACTGAACAGCCCCGCAGCCCAATCCCGAGTCAGTTGACACAGGCCAACCATGGATGTTTAACTGTAGCGTAGACATACCCTTAGAATCTCCTAACCCAATGCTCAGGCATTGGTTCAGTGATGACTCATAGAGCAGAGAATGCTCCTAATTGAATTACCAGTACTGCTTCCTACAGCATTCTGAGTTTTTCTTCCTCCAAGTACTGATCAGGTGCACCTCTGCTTAGCTTGTGAGAACAAACTCAACTTCAGCCTAAAGTGGTATGGCTCAGGACCAGACATGTGGAGTAGAATCAGGGAGAACGGGTGTGAAGAGATCTAAAATCTAGTATATGGGAGGAGGGTGAAGTCTGTGAGAAGAGAAGGAATGCAGAGGGTGCAGAGAGAAGTAAGGATAAGAAATGGGATCCAGACTCCATTTGGCTTCAACCCTAGCACTAACCCATATAGAAGCTTGATTTGGAAAACCAACCTTTGTTGACATTGCCTGGACTATCTGCAGCCAGTATATGTGAAAGTAACAAAAACTGGAAATTGGCAATGGAACTTTTTGTTACAGCTTATTTTTCATGTGTTCCGGCGGCAGTAAAAAGAAATAAACAGGAACGAGATTTAGTTCTTAAAATTATAAAAAAAAAATCTGTCCTTTATACCCTTTGAAAAATTTGGTTTAATTATTTTGTAAATGCAGCCGTGACTGTTAATCTATGAAAGTTTTGCCTGTTGATAAAAATCAGTAAGAACTGTGTATTTTAAGGCACTGGCTTAAATAAATCTATTAGAAAAAGTGTTCTATTTCTTGTCTAAACACAACAGTGGGAAGGAAGCATTTACTTGTATAACTGATGTATCTGAACACCGATGGCTATCATACGAAATAAACATACCTTAATGTTATGGTTAGATTATGCACTGAGAGATAACAAGTGAAATTAACTAGAAAGGGCATGAACTGCACATATTTTTAAAATGGAATGTGTTGCCCCAAGGCATTTACACTTAAATCTGCTGCTTATGATTTTTAAGAGGCTGTTAATGCTTCACTTGTTGGCATAAGAGGTGAAATAGTCTCAGTTTTGGTCTTCACGCGAATCATACAAAAATAAAATTTATTTTAACAAATACACATAAAATCTACAAAATGTTTAACATCCTCCCTAAAAACATTTAAAACTATTGGGGGTCTTGATCATGCATCTGGCAAAACTCATACTGAGTTCAACATAATCACTAGCATCATCTTTTCCCATAACAATATTTCTTGGAAACATTTTGTAAAAGAGAAATGAGATTCAAAGCTCTATTAACAAGTGGCAATTGTAACATTATTTTATATCCTGTGGGAAGAATGAGATGGCAACTCATCAGTTTAGGACCCTTGAAAGAAACGAGAAGGGAGAGAAATTATAGGCCCAGTTTACTCATGTTGTTAATTGTTTGTGTGCCGAATGCTCCTTTGAGCCCAATTACAGGATGGGGACTTTTCCCAACATGTTAAGTAAAATATTTTAAAATTTATTTTCAGTTCATTAAAAATAGTTTAATTTAAGCCATATGGACCCAATCCTGAGCACTTCCCTCTCCTCCCCTAGACTTCAGTGAGAACTGAAGGAAGTAGCCCCATATAGGACACACTCAAGACTATTTAAGATTGGGTCTCTAGGGTATTGTAGATATCTAAAAAAGTCAAACTTACATTTCTAACCACATTATTCTCTTCACTTAAGCATACTCGGTACAAAGTTGTAAGCAGTAGCTCCATGTGCTGTGTAATGTGATCCTCTGCATGTAGCAACAATATAAACAGAAGCTGAGATGCTTTTATTCTGGTGCCTTCAACCCAGTCTGTTACATCATGACAGAGACCGGGAAGAATTTTGGAGAGGTTTCTTGTAACAAGCTCCCGACATCCCAATTCTGGTCGAACCACTAGAAGAAAAGAAAAAAAAAAAAAAAAAAAAACAGAAGGAAAGTTCAGGAAAAGCACTACAAATGCTTTGCAGAAAATTTTAGAAAAGGTTAATGGTGTTGATTCATAACAAAAGTAATGTCTTCTCTGCTTCTATGTGAAGTACATGATTCAAAGCACTGCATGTGGCTTTATCTGTGAGAGTGCCATTGACTTTAGTAGCATTGCTCAATTAAAAACTCCATTTTACACTTTGAAAATGTAGTTATTTAATAAGTAATATTAATACCACCCAGGTGTTATATAGCAATTTTTATTAGTAGAGCTCAAAGCACTTATATGATTGGAAAGTTGGTATTTACATTACATGCTTTATTTAAAAAAAATTATAAAGGAGAGAGGAAAGAAAATAAGCAGCTCACCACCCAACATGGCAAATGCATTTTAGCCAATCTCAAAGCATATGACAAAAAGATAATCTCCTTTTTACTGTTATAATGCCAGAGACGGAGAGGTTTGATTTTAAAAATCAAACGGAAGCAAACAAAAAGAAAAACAAGAAAAGCTGGACTTTTTCAAAACAAGCTTGGTGGTGTCAGTGGCTCAGACATAATCTGAGACAGCAAGCAGCAGTCAGAAGACTTTGAAATAGCATGAGAAACATTATATACAGGTTTCAAAAAAGAAAAAAAATATTCTTTTCAGGGTGTCAGAACAGAGCAGGAGTTGGCGAATGTGCCTCCTTGTACTTCATATTACTGATATCGTAATCATGTCTAAACTCCCTAAAATAAATTCTTCAATTGTCTCAGGGCATTTCCTCCCATCTGCTTATATGGCTAAAAAAAAAAAAAAAAAATGCTGATCATAGGTAAACTGCATTGGGTATAAAAAAGATTGAAATTTGACAAGGTGAAAAAAGGTTTATTAAAAATGCCTACGAAGTACCTATTTTAAATAAAATTCTTTAAAACATAAGAGACTGTTTGATTATTGCTTCTTTTGTGTATGGAAGAGAGCACTTGGGATTATAAAAATTGACAATGAATAGCAAAGGTCAAATGAAGAAATCTGCTTGAGAAAACAAATATGGAGTGGCATTCTATTTGACCTGAGGCAGAAGGTTTTTTTAAAGGATTCTGACCATTCCTTTTCAATAGTTCCTTCACTTCAGATGTTCAAATGCAGACATTTAATCCCTGTAGCTACCTGCTGTCAAAGAATTTTTCCCCTTCACTATAAACTGTATCCCAAGGCAATGGTTGCTCAATGGAAAGTCATTCAGTTGTTAAGATGGCATTGAATATTAGGGCAGTCTTCAACCCCCCCGCCCCTCACACCTGCAGTGTCTGTCATCATGATATCAAAGCACAATAAGGCTGAGGTGTCAGGTTCATTAGCTTGCAAGTACAAAAAGGTGGTTAAAGAAAATGCATTATAGCCCATAATGGAAAAGGAGGAATTCTAGATGTTGAAATATAGATTTACAATGAATCACTCATTATCATGGAATTCTTTTTAAAATACGTTTTGAAAAGGAAGCAAATAGAGGCAAGTGTTAAAACATAATTACAAAGAATAAAAAGGAACTTAAAATACCAGAAACTGAAATATAAAACATATGGTACAGATACATAGCTAAATACAAATCTTGCAACAAGACACCACAAATTCCTAATCTTATTTCAAGACATACATAAGACTCAGTGGTAAATCATCCTTTTCTCTTTTATCATGCATAGCTAGAGAGACACTATCAGATGCAATTTGGCAGTAAAAGTAAATGGCAGGAAGGAATCTTAAAGTAATTATTAACTTCTTAGGACTGAAGTACAAAATTACCAGGTAATTTCCTCAGAATGCTCTGCAATTATCTATTAATCTTTTCATTGAAGACTTAAATGCAGAACTTTAGCGAGCAAGATGAATACAAAAACTGATGCAACTGGGCAGCATGGGGGGTGCGGTTTGCCCAACATTGCAAAACACTTTTATTGTGATCAGAACATTGTCTCATACAGCTCTGTAGCAAAGACTGGCTCATGAAGTAGCTCACTTTCCTTAAAAAAATGATGCAATTAAATACTAACAAAAATGTTATTTTAACTAATATGTTGCGCCAAGGTTCCCTCTTGTGGTATGTTTTATCTTTCATGGTAGGAACACCAAAACTGATCAGCTTTGCTGTTCCCCCATCAATCTCACTCATGGGATGCTATACTATAACACATATCCCTGATGATATGCATTAATTCATAGGAGATGCCTGAATTTGCGCCTTATCTGAAAATGGTGTAGGTAAATACAAAACTGAAGAGGACACCAAAGAAGGTCCTGGAAACAGGACCAGTAATGTAGATGGTGCCAATATTGAATGGTGAACTGCTCTTAGTACCAATTTTTGAAGGTGCATCTTCACTGAGCTTGGCATTTTAAAGATGTGTTGCCACCCATTCTAGAATATAAAACATTCATGAAGATGTTGCACGTAGTGTAGGAGGAGGTTATTTCCTAAAAACAGTAATCTGAGATGATAACATTTGAAGCAAAGTCTGATCTGGTTCAAGAGTTTGGTGCAGATTCTGTGAGGTCTCCAGTGGCTGTAATGGTTCCTAGAATAGCAACTTCTTTTTCTCAGGGAATTCCTAGATTCTTCAAGTGAAAACTATCAATGTATCAGAGGAACTGAGTAGTAAAAAGGGACCCATTCCAGAGTTGTTGAGCTTAACTATAGGATAAGAAACCTTAGTATGTTTGAATGCTTTTGAAGGAAAATTTAATAGCCTCACTTTCACTTATTTAAGTTTTCAGGAAAAGAGATTTAGGAATCCAGCGCTAAAGAGAAGGCAGAGGAGAAAAAAATAAAACAGAAGCTGATGAATACTATTCATTTTAGCTCTGGAGGACATTTTTGAGTATATTCTGAGATAACATGTAATAACTCCAAAAACTCAAGGCCCATACAAAATTCAACTAAGGCCTTTAATAAGAAAGCAAGCAAGAGGAGAATTAGTCAGGCCTTGGCTACACTGGCGCTGTACAGCGCTGCAACTTGCTGCGCTCAGGGGTGTGAAAACGCTGCCCTCCCCCCCCCCCGAGCGCAGCGAGTGCAGCGCTATAAAGCGCCAGTGTAATCAGAGCCTGCAGCGCTGCACGCTCGCTCGCAGCGCTGCAAGCTACTCCCCTCGGAGAGAGCGGCAGCACTGTGAATTCCCGAGTGTAGCCAAGGCCTCAGACTCATCAGGCTTTTGGAAACCAAGCGATAATAGGCAGGATGTGCTGTCATGGTTATAGTTTCTTTTCTGATTCATGAACCATTGGATGATAAAGTACCCACAGGTTTTCAATAGGGTGCTAAGCATGATGTGCTGTAATGCAAAGTAGGCAATGGCCTCTGCATGGAGACTCAAGGACAAAATTCATTGAGCAAGCATTTGCTTTTATTACCAAATGGAAGTACCTTTTCAGAGGTATGATCACCTTTCATGCTAGTGGTAGCTCCTTCATTCAAAATTGTGAGGAAGTTGCAGACTGCTTAGGTGACTTGAGACAGGTCACTTACTTTCTGTGTCTCAGTTCCCCCTTTGTCAAAGGGTATAACACATCCTTTCACCCACCTTTTGTATATCTTGTCTATTTATATTGTAACCTTTCTATGTGTTTGTAAAGATCCTAACACAATAGGGCTCTTGTCTCAACTGTGGCCTCAGGCAATACCATACCACAAATAACTACTTATAACAATAAGGATAAAGTATATTCTTTCCATGACAATCCTTTCCAAAGGTAAGTTAAAATGTTTTAGAATCAATTAGGAGAAAAGTCACACTAGTTTCTGTTATTCTTGTTTTTATTACTGAACTTTCTTCTTCTTCCGTCCTACCCTAATTTTAATATGGGTAACAAACAGCAGCATTATTTCACAACTACTAAGATTGCTTTAGAGTGCTCTTTTACATTCAGAATACCGACCACAACATTCATGAAAAGGGCAAAAATTTCCCTCAACCTTCATTGCAGATATTTTTAAAAACCTATCATTATCTTTACAAAGGAAAAATATGAGTGATGGGTAATTATATAAAAATTCATGAGGCTGACCATCTATTAATATGAACAGCCTGTGACACAACAAATATTTCTCTTATCACTAGAGGAAGCAAAAGCATTCTTTACCATTTACATGTCCCAAAGCTAATATAACTTACATCACAAAAATAAAAAATAAAAAGAACAACAGATCAACTTGACTGCCTTGAAGGCTAAGCAGATCTGTCAAGTCAGTTACCATTATGAAGTGCTTCCCCTTTCATTCAAGCATTACCAAGTAAAACAATTTGAACAAAAATATAATTTCAAAAGAGAAAGAACTCCGGAACCCACTGTCATCGAAAGGATTTTGCTGCTGGGGATTCTGTGACGTGATTGGCAGGTAGGGACAAGTCAAGCATGATCTTGTTCTTTCACACCATAAGAGCGTTTTGTTCTGTTAAATCTGAGTATACAAATCAATAGGGTTACCATATGTGGAGTGTCCCACACTCCACGGGGCCCCGGCCCCGCCCCGCCCACGCCCCCGCCCAAACTCCACCCCCTCCCCCAAAGTCCCCGCCCCAACTCCGCCCCCTCCCCTGCTTCCCGCGAA